TAACCCCGCAAAGAGGACATTTGTACGATGATACCATCGAGCAACAAATTTTCTTAAAAATAAATAAAGAATTTCGATAAAAACTTACTTTGAAATAAAATCTGCGATTTTTAATAAAAAAAAACTTTATTTACATTTACAGCATATTAATAATTTTTATATAAAAAATCATGCATAAAGTTTGTTTTGTATATAAAAAAAGTAACGAAATTTGTAACGACTCATTATTTTTTGAGTAACGGTAACGGTAACGAGTTACTTTTTGAAATTGGTAACGAATAACGGTAACGAGTTACTTTTTAGAAAAAGGAACGGTAACGGTAACGAGTTACTTTTATAAAGTAACTTTCCCAACCCTGTATATATATATATATATATATATATATATATATATATATATATATAAAGTAAAAGTGCCAGTGCGTGACATCCCAGATAGCACAATGAATTCTTTAAGTGTTCCTAAAGTTTTCTCCTTTCCTGAATTGTATTTCCTTAGAAATTCGTGGAAGAATATTATAAGAATAATTTAGGAAGTTACATGCATCATGATTGGAGTTCCTCAGAACTTCTTAGAGTACAGAATTACTTCAATTCAAAAAGATTTCTTCGGATTTAATAAATTTTATTACATTCACACACGAAAGAAAGATCAGAAACTTTGGCCGAGGACTTGCTTGTGTGTATCTGTAGATGTGCACTTTTAATGCCATATGAGATGGAAAACATCAAACTCGACTGGACCGAACTCGGGTCTTCCGCTTGCCAGACAACCGCTCTTTCCACTTAGCTATTTCATATTTGTGACATCTATATATCTAGTGAAAAATGATTCGTTGATTGACGTCAAAATGATATCAAATTGACGTCGGTTTGATGATTTCAACGTCTATTTGATGTCATTTTGACGTCAATCAACGAATCATTTTTCGCTGGATATATACCCATATAGCAGGAATGTCCCAAATATATCATAAGGATATCTTAAAGATATCACATATCCCAAATATATCTTTAAGATATTCCTATGATATATTTTGGACACCTCTGCTGTATGGGTACAATTCTAACTGAGTTTTAAATGTAAGTAAAGCGTACTT